GCCAAAGAAACCAAGAAATGAGTAGAGATAATCAAAGTGTACATTTACAATAAAAATATTTAAAATCATTCATTTATATATGCTATACCAATTTGAAAGTACTCTCTTTCAAGCAGAATTCTTAGAAAAGTTTCCAAGTATAGAAGAATAGCCTTTTTTTTATAAATATAGAGCAAGAACATTATTATAATAATTATTGTAAAAGACTTAAGACCCTTTATAATAAGCTATCATTCATTATTAATTAGGTGTCAATTATCTAGATTGTGAAGAAAATGGTGAATGTATTTTTTTAATTTCTAATCAATCTAGCTAGAAAGAATATGGCGAAATCATTATAATTATTTTCATAGATTGAAAACATTGAAAATTACTTAACATATATTTAATCCATCTATAATCATTTAGGATTTTTAGCAGTCAATTTAGATGATAATGAAACTGGATTAGCAATTTTAGCTAAAGCTGAACGATTAGGTGAATATCTGATAGCAAAGGCAGATCTTAAAAAAACAGCTTTTAAAATATAAGGAGGATTCGAGAAAGCACAAGAATTTTACACAATCACTTTGTTTTATATTGCATAAGCATATACAAAACTTGGAATCAAAGATAAAGTATAATCTAAATATTAAATTCATTTAGGCTGCTTATTATTGTGGTTAAACTATGTTAAGATAATTCAAATCTAAAACTTATGAATTAAGAGATTTTGTTATTAATTGCATATCTTTATCTGAGTATTATTCAGGTGTTATGAATTTTGCTTAAGCTTTTTATCTCCTTTTAGTAGGAGAAGCCGTCATACCAGAAGGAAAAAGAAAAAAATTGTATTTTATTTATCTTTAATCTTAGACGTGCTACTTTATAAATGGCATAAGGGAAAGTTATTGCAGATATGATGTCATATTGTGTTGATTGTATCAAGAGTAATCAATAAAATGACCCTAGTCTTTCTAAATTATTTAATAAATATAGTATCACCTTTGATGGTCTTAATGTTAAATAATTAGTATTTCATATTTTTAATATATTTAGGTCTTTTAACCTAGTAAAACTTTTGATGAAATCAAATCCTTATTTAGATAAGCTAATACATTATATAAAAAAGCCATGTCTATTTTTGTTTTAGATGGATTTGTAACTGAACATATTCAAATGCTTAGCGAAATCTCAATTATGTATAAAGTTATTATGAGTCTTGAAACTGATCCTAACAATATAATTGCATTTTTAGAAAAAAGATTAGATTTATTACTTCCTGTTTTTAATACTATAAATCCGAAAGCTTATTAAAATACTTTTGAAAAATTATTAGTTGAAGTTGCTGAAATCAACAATGAATTATATGAATTTATTGTTAAATTTAATGAAATTGATGATTTCTCTGGAGGCAAAAGTAAAAAATTAACTGATAAAATGAATAAAGCTTGTCTTAATACAATCCAATATTATGAAAAAATTGTTGAATAATTAAAACTACTTGAAGAAAAATAAAGAGACTCAGCTTATTATTCATCCATAACTACAGCTTATTTCAATATTGCTAAAGCCTAATCTAAGTACTATTCTAAAGATAACAAAATTAAAGTTTCATATCTAGTTAATTCTTTAAATTAATACAAGTAATTGGTTTAATTTATTAATCAATAAAATCAACAAAATGAATTTTAAGCTGTTCTCTAGATATGCAAAGAAATGATTTCAATTTTACCATCAAAAATTGATAGAATTAATTATATGTGAGTATATTTATAATTAAAAGTAAATATTATTTTGCTATTTTATTTTAATAATCATTTATCATCAAAAATTTGTTTACTCTAACATTTCTTCCTTTATCTAATTTGCTAGCAATAAAGCTAGTTATTTTTAATTAAATCTTAGAAAATTGAATGATTCATTTATAAATATTAATTTAAATTTTTATAAAGTCAATTAATAATCGAATGTATTATCTTTTTAAATAAAATTTATTTAATTAAAATATGATCTATTAAAAAAAATTTAATAATAAAAATTTCTATATTTATACTGTTATAATTAATAGTTGAAGAAAATTCTTTATAAAATATTAATTTTCTATTAGATGTAAAATAAAAAATTAAAACTAATTCATGGTTATTATACTTATTAATTATAGTTTTTTTTTTCTCTAGGTTTTAGTTTAGAGCTATGTTTTGGTATTAGATCTATTAATTATTTGCTTTTAAGAACCGAACATATTTACTTTTTTGGTTTTGATTCAACCCTTACTTTGTTGAGTTACAATAAATTTTATTTATAATTTTCAATAAGTTTAGCAAATAAAATGGATTTTTCAGAATCCATTTAATTTTATCTTTAATTTAGACTTGTATTTTGAGAATGTCCTTATAATTAATTAGATAGAGCAACAGAATTTTTAAATCTTAATTCACTTTAAGGGACATTTTATGATTAGCTTCTCTATTTGTTATATATCTGGGGCATTTTGGTAAAATTATTAATGTTTTTAAAAGGACTGATAGGACTATTTTATTTGATAGATTTATTGGATAATTAAGAAGGTTTAGATGGAGAAGATAGATTAGATAGTTATTAGGTAGTTAATTAAATTAGCTTGATTCTTTATAATTTTTTTTCAATTATTCGATTATAACTATCTAAATCAATATCTAAAGACCAATTTAAAGATTTTTGAATATGTTCATTTTATGAATTTAATTACTTAAAAATTCTATCCATATTTTATTATCTGCTTTAAAAATATAGAATTTATTCTTCTTAAATTCTAAGATAATATATATTTAAGATTACTTGTCAGCCGATTCAATTACTTCATATTATTTTGGAAAGATTTTGGTATAGAAATAATTCAATTTTTGATTATTTTTGATATTAATTGACCAATCATTTTGTATATGTTTTTTATTTGTAACTTCCATAGAATAAAATTGATTCTGGATTTCTTATTCTTAATGATTGCTATCCTGACTATGCATCTTAAAATTGATAGAGTATTACTCTTTTGATTTAAGCATCTTGTTGTCTATTTAAGATTAATTCAATTTAATGTCGACACTCTTAATAAATAGCAGAAATCAATGAATTCATAATTAATCTTTTGCTATCGAACTTTTAAGTTTGACAATTATAAATGGTCTATAGAAACTTAGAATTTTTGGATCTTATAATTTATCTTTTGGCTAACATTAATTAATAAGATTCAGATATTCTAGCAAGGAAACGCTAGATTAATCTATAAATTTAAATTAGATTAGATACTTAAATTCTGATTCATTGATAGTTTAATGATGAATCAATTGATTTTATANCTTATTAATTATAGTTTTTTTTTTCTCTAGGTTTTAGTTTAGAGCTATGTTTTGGTATTAGATCTATTAATTATTTGCTTTTAAGAACCGAACATATTTACTTTTTTGGTTTTGATTCAACCCTTACTTTGTTGAGTTACAATAAATTTTATTTATAATTTTCAATAAGTTTAGCAAATAAAATGGATTTTTCAGAATCCATTTAATTTTATCTTTAATTTAGACTTGTATTTTGAGAATGTCCTTATAATTAATTAGATAGAGCAACAGAATTTTTAAATCTTAATTCACTTTAAGGGACATTTTATGATTAGCTTCTCTATTTGTTATATATCTGGGGCATTTTGGTAAAATTATTAATGTTTTTAAAAGGACTGATAGGACTATTTTATTTGATAGATTTATTGGATAATTAAGAAGGTTTAGATGGAGAAGATAGATTAGATAGTTATTAGGTAGTTAATTAAATTAGCTTGATTCTTTATAATTTTTTTTCAATTATTCGATTATAACTATCTAAATCAATATCTAAAGACCAATTTAAAGATTTTTGAATATGTTCATTTTATGAATTTAATTACTTAAAAATTCTATCCATATTTTATTATCTGCTTTAAAAATATAGAATTTATTCTTCTTAAATTCTAAGATAATATATATTTAAGATTACTTGTCAGCCGATTCAATTACTTCATATTATTTTGGAAAGATTTTGGTATAGAAATAATTCAATTTTTGATTATTTTTGATATTAATTGACCAATCATTTTGTATATGTTTTTTATTTGTAACTTCCATAGAATAAAATTGATTCTGGATTTCTTATTCTTAATGATTGCTATCCTGACTATGCATCTTAAAATTGATAGAGTATTACTCTTTTGATTTAAGCATCTTGTTGTCTATTTAAGATTAATTCAATTTAATGTCGACACTCTTAATAAATAGCAGAAATCAATGAATTCATAATTAATCTTTTGCTATCGAACTTTTAAGTTTGACAATTATAAATGGTCTATAGAAACTTAGAATTTTTGGATCTTATAATTTATCTTTTGGCTAACATTAATTAATAAGATTCAGATATTCTAGCAAGGAAACGCTAGATTAATCTATAAATTTAAATTAGATTAGATACTTAAATTCTGATTCATTGATAGTTTAATGATGAATCAATTGATTTTATAAGGAAGTTTCATGAATAGCTAAACGATGATACATATCATCAAGTTCTTTAGAAGTTTTTTAAGATAGTAAAGAGAGACAACATAATTACTTGAATAAAGTGTTAAGAGTATCCTGAGTTTATTCCATTAAAGTGAATTTTAATATTAATTTACAAATGATTATAATATAATATAGATCATTGATCTTCCTCCATTTCAATATTAAGCTTCTTTCTTCCTAATTTAGGTGCTTATTGTTATTATTGTTATTTATTGGGATTCTTTTCAATTTCCATTTATTATTAAACTAGTGGTATTGAATCAGATTGAGTTTTAACAATAACTTAAAAATTAGGTTTTTAAAGCTTATTAGTTTCTCCATTAGGTAATCTAGCTCCATAATTAGTCTAATCTTTAGGTTGATCATTCAATTATTGATTATTCTTATCTGATGCTAATTAAATTAGATCATTTGTATTAATGCTTGGATTTTATAGATATTCATAAGCTATTCTAACATAATTATATCATTTAAAAACTTTATATCATCAGTTGTAATATTTTATCTCTTTTACATATCAGCTAAGTTTGATGCTCCATCTAAAATAGTTTTCATAAGCTTCTTAGCATACTCATTGAGTTGATGAACAACATTCTCTTCATAAATGCAACCATGATATTCTAATAGCTATTTAGTTAATTCTGCTGTTGTAGTCATTAATAAATTAAAAATGGGAAATTGCACACTCAAATCAGCAGAGTCAGAAGATTAAACAGGTATTATTATTTACATATTATAGTCATTTCTATCTCTAATTTCACACAGAAGAGTGTTATAGGCAAGGGAGGTTTTGGAAAGGTAAGATAAAAGAAAATAATAAAGGAAATTAGGTCTGGATGGTTGAGAACAAAAAGTCAAAAAGTTTATATGCAATGAAAATTATGTCAAAAGCAAAGTAAATTATCTTAAAATTTTCAATTAGGATCATTGCTAAGAAAAGTGTCTAATCAGTAATGAATGAATTATAACTACTTAGTTAATTGAAACACAAGTATTTCAATAACTTTGATATAGCTTTATTATTAATATGTAAGCAGCATTCTAGGATCGAGACAATCTCTATTTAGTCATGGATTTATTAACAGGTGGAGATCTTAGATACCATCTTTGTAAATAGAGAAAATTTACAGAAGAACAAACTAGTACTCAAAAATAAACAAAATAGAATTCTTTGTGGTTTGTATAATAGTCTCTTTGGAATATTTACATGTCAATGGAATTCTTCATCGTGATGTGAAACCAGAAAATTTAGTATTTGATGATAAAGGATACTTAAAATTGACTGATATGGGAATCGCTCGTTAATGGAAACCAGAAAATGCATAAGATACAAGTGGAACTCCTGGATACATGGCTCCAGAAGTTATGTGCAGTAATATTTATAATTTTCTATTCTAATTTTATAGGATAAAATCATGGAGTAGGTGTTGATTATTATGCACTTGGAGTTATTGTTTATGAATGCATTATGGGGAAAAGACCTTATGTTGGGAAAAGTCGATAGGAAATTAGAGATTAAGTAATTGCAAAATAAGTTTAAATAAAAAACACAGATATCCCTGCTGGATGGTCATTAGAAGCTGTAGATTTTGCAAATAAAGTTATAAATAAATAATTTAGATATAGTTAATATAAAGAAAGCCTGCTAATAGATTAGGTGTGAATGGTCCAGATGAAGTAAAGGCTCATTAATGGTTTAAAGATTATTCTTGGGATAAATTATTAGATAGATAATTAACAGCTCCTTACATTCCAAAGGATGATGAAATGGTTTAAATAGCTAATGAAAATCGAAGAGATTCTGTTAATGAGATTGATCCTGAAAGTGTTCTAAGTTTAAGAAGAAACTCTGTCTAAGGCATTCATTTTTATTTATTATTTAGCTTAATTTGGAGGTTATAGTTTTAATGGAAGCAATAACAACAATAACAATGCTAAACCTTAATCCACTAATGTTAGTGTACCAGCAATATTGTCTACAAAGGCTAATTGATTTATGATAAAATATTTAATATATGTATATGAATGTACTAAAATGTAAAATCAGTCAAACAAACCACCCATATCAACATCTTCTTCTGGTTCTGGGGCCTTTTCAACTGGTTTAGGTGCTTCTTATTTGGCAGCAACTGGAGCTTAAGCTTAGGTTGGAGCACTTGATGCAGCTTAACAATTATTAATCATTATATACCTCCTCCTCCTAATTAGAGAGTACCTACTTTTTTTAATCCTTCACTGATAACATCAGAAAGTGTTTTGCCTTTCAATGCATCTACAATTCCCTTTATTTAATCATCAGCTCCTTAGGCACCTACTTCACTCAATAATCCCTTAATGTCTGCCTCAGCTACAATTTCATTGATATATAAATTACTTGGTTGAGCCTTTCCTCCCAAAACTAACAAAGCATAAGCTGCGACGTATTACATTGTATTTATTTAAAAAATTATTTTTAAATTATGCTATATTCCTTTCACACTTTTATTTAAATCTTATTAAAGAAATAAATATTTTTTAATACTTATCCTCCTCATCTTATTTAACTCTATCTAAGACCTTCAAAAATTGCTTTAAATTTCAAATATATTCTTATATTTTATACAATCAAATACAAATTTAGATTATTTTTTTTAATTAAATCTTTCCTTCTTTCACCCTATATCATCTAAAGATTAGAAGATTTTATTTTTAATTAATTATTCAAAAAAAGATCTTCTACTTAATCTTTTCATAATATATTATTCAAAAAAATAGATTGATTTTTTTTCAATAAAAATTTATTTAGAGAAAATAATGGATATTTATTTTTAATATATTATCTAAAATAAGATTTTGTAAAGAAAATGTTTAAAATATTTATACATTATTGATGATATAAAATAAAAAATACATTAAAATCAATTTTTCAAAAATAGAATATATATAAATATAAATATAAAATTTTGATCAATTTTCAACATCATTATCATCATGAATCTTAGAAACAAAATTGTTTATCTGAGGTGTTTCAGGTTCTTCTTTAATAATTCTTAATCTTTAAGAAAATGTAATTTTTGATTGTTATTGTTACAAGGATTATTTTGATTGTTAGGTTTATAGTTATTATATTTCATCTAATGCTTCAAATGAGGAATTACTATCACAGTAATTAATAACATCAAAAAGATCAGAAACATCTTCAGGATTAGATTTAAGAGAGCATTTATTCAGATTCATAGAAGTAATGGATTATTAAAAGTGGATTGATTTATCTCTAATTTATTGACTAGATTCTTTGAAACCAATTATAATTTATCCATGAATTTTATTAAAATTGGTTTTATCAATGAAATTTTCATTAACATTGGTAACAGATTATTGAAAGATTTTAACATTAGCTTACATAGATCTCACAAGACCCAAAAGTGGTTTTTCACTTGAACTAGTAAATATATCATCTTTGGATTTTACTATAAAATATCTTGGAATAAGTTTTGGTTAATAAAGCCAAGGATGAAGAAGAGCCTCTTTAAAATGATTAATTAGATTTTTACCTTAAGATGTAATTCTTTTTTCTGGATCCCATTTCAATAATCTTTTAATGAAATCAATAATTAATGGAGGTAAATTAAGAAAGGATTCTTCTTTTAAATGACCAGTATATTCAGTTTAAGTAGAAAAACTTTCCATTTGATTTTCTTAATCTAAAGGTAATCTTCCACATAACATTTAATAACAAACAACTCCAATAGCCCAAATATCAATTTTCTTAGAATATCCTGATCCTGTCCATAATTCCGGAGCTTGATATGGCATTGTTCCAGTAACAGTCCACATAAGATTGTTTTTAATGTCTTTACAACTTTTTTCAGTAACAAGAAATCTTTTTGAAACACCAAAATCAATTAATTTAATCTAATTAGAATCACTATCAAAAACTATATTATCTGGTTTAATATCTCTATGACATAATCCAACTTTATGTATATATGATACTGCTTCAAATAATTATCTAATAATTAAACGAACTTATTCATATTCCAAAATCTATCTTTCTTTAAGAATTTATTAAAGACTTGGATATGGTAAATATTCCATTACAAGATATGAACATTCCATATTAGGATCTATATAAAGCATATTAGTTTTGCATATATATGGATGATTTAAAGAGACTGTATTAAGGAATGTTTATTTCATAATATCTGTTATTTCAGGGTCTGGATTCCTAGTAATTTTAACAGCATAGGTTTCATCAGGATTTGTAATTTACCAACATTAACGAACTACTGCATGAGCACCTTCTCCTAATATCTTACCTATTTAATACTAATTTTAAAATGATTGTTTCATCTACTCTAATTATTTTTTATTTGAGATATAATCTATCAATTTAGTTGACTCTTCTTTAAATTCACTTTAACTTGAACAGTGTACGTATTCTAATATTTAAGAACATTAGTTTATTATTTCATCAGCATACTATTTTTATTAAGACTCATTTTTAAATAAATCACTCTTCAATTTATTCCTTAGTCTTTCAAAGTTACCTTTTTTGTCCATTTTAACTTCGTTTTTTATTTTAATATTATTATATAGACTCAATTTGATATTTCAATTAAAAATTAATCAAATATTAAAACTCATTGTTATTCAATTGGATGTGATGGCATCCTAAACGAAAAAAAAAAATATATAAATCCAGTAAAGTACATGAAAATTACTCCCAACCCTACAAATTTCATTTTAGTTCTTTAAAAATTTCTATTTTAAGTTGGCTAAATCAATCCAATTACAATTCCAATTAAGAAACTACCATAAATTCCAAAGATTAATGAATTTTTATAAAAAAATCCAATTATTCCAATTATTAATATAAAAATAGTTACTTACATAATTACTTATCTTGCCTCATCCTTATCATTTAAATATTTTAAATACCTATTATGCATTTTAAATTATAAACCCAAACATTAGACCAATCATTCCAAAAACACAAAATGAATTTCCTTCAATGTTTTAATCGTAAAATACTATAAAAGTTATTGATCCAGCAATTCCTGTAGATAAATATAATAATAAGGTTGTTTTTTTATTTATAAACTTTTCCACCATCGAAACTATAATAACTTATAACAATAATTCTCCACATAAATCTTTAACATTATTAAATATGAATAGACAAGTTATTAAACGATAGAACTCTAATTTATATTTCACATTATATGCCGAACATCTTCCAAAAGTTTCAAGAGTTTCATCTGAGAACTCTTTTGTAAATAATATTTAAATACTATACACAAAATTGCTTTCTAAAGATTGAAATCCCCAAAGAAACACATAAAAATAAACAATGATAATTGAATCAATGAAATTATGGCTGTAAATGACATTAAAGTAAAATTTGGACAGCAATAATCTTTAATAGTTGAATAACAATTTTCTTCTCTTGGATCAGATAATATTAAAGTATCTTCAGTTTAATACATTTTTACTTTCAAATAAAAAATCAGGCATATTGTCAAACTCAGAATGCCTTCCTGCTCCTTACATTAAATTAAAATTATATTTTTATTTTTACCTAAAAAATTTAATGTTAAAATAATGTACGTTTTGGAATACAAGATTATTTCGGAATTAAAATTCAAAATATCTATTATCTATATTATCTAATATCATTATATCTCTTACAATTATTTTAGAATTGCAAATTAATGAGTATAATTACATTTCATTAATCAATAAGAATTCTAATCTAAATCTTATATACATAATCAGAATAACGATTTTTTTTTCAGAAATGGAAAATTAATAACACACTTATATCAGATATTTAGTAACTCTTGTAAACTCAATTTTATAATTATTTTTTTATAATTTAGAAACCTGAAAAAATGTTTGATATAATATGAATATATATTTAAGATATATAAAAGAACATAATGTGTTTTAAATATTATAAATGATGCTATAAAAATATTGATTCTCTAATAAACAATAAAAAATTCTCTGACATTTATTATTATGTGAAAATATTTATAATCTGAAACGATTTTTATTTTAATTTATTATGATAAATAATGAGAATAACTCTTAACATCTTAAAAGTAAACCTCTATTTTCAGTAATGAAATTGATAAATAACAATACATTTCGTGGATAATTTAGTGAACCTAATTAACTTAGCTCAAGCATTCTATAATAAACAAATCCATAATTATCATTTCCAAGAGCAGAAAGATTCTTATCTCATCATGCTCCTTAGCTTCCATCCCCAAAATATCTATGTTTAACAGACACAAAAACAAAAAGGGCTACATCATTTGGATTTGGAAACAAATAACTTAGACCATTAGATCTTGAAAAAAGAGATTAATTAAATCCTGCTCCTGGAACATATGATATTAAATAGACATCCTGTAGATCCTGTAGCTTTGGAATGAAGTTATAATCATTAAGAGGTTTTGATGTTCCAGGACCTGGATCATATGATTTAAAATTGATAAATAAAACAAAAGCTTTTAGTATATATGGCAAAATCAAGTATGAACTTAAAATTTTATTTTTAGTTCTGATATAAAATTACCCAAAACTGCTTCTCCAACAACTTACCTTCCCACTGATAAAATTATTTAAAACAATAGATTTAAATAAATCACATTTGGAATTGGAGATAGACCATTACCTGGTTTAAAAAATGATTCTCCTGGACCAGGAACGTATGCTTTGAAATCTGTTTTTGAAATCAAATCAAAAAAAAAAACCTAATAATGATGACTTCTATATTAATATAATGTTTTTTCATATAAAAATAAAATAATCTTTTCACCACCTAAATCTATCGAATTATTTAATTTTTTCGAATATATGATATAAACTATTTTATTATTAATAGGAACCATTTAAACATGAAAAATAATTGATAAGAATTTCATATTGAATTAAATTTAAGTAAATCTATATATACAAAAATTCTCTTATATTATTATATAATCAAGTTTTAGTATGCAATTATAACTAATAAATAGATAGCTTCCAACATCATTAAAAAAATCACTGAGATTATTAATCGTATCAATTACATTGTCTTTATTGATATGTTTAGCAGAAGGAATAGCATTCACTCATATTAATTCTGAAATAAGTATTATATTTTCTTGATTTAGATAATTTATGTGGATTGATGTCAGCATATGTTATACAGGTAATCTCTTGTTTTATAGTTTTAATATCACTTTTGTTAAATCTATTTTCAATTTTTAAAATGTCTAAATCTTACTTGCTAATTGGTTTAGTTTTAAGCATTATTTTTAAATTTATATCAATGATAATGATAAGAAATTCGATGAATTAAATATAGGGCGGATGCTATTTTTCAAGGTTTTAAATTACAAGCTTTTTGATAAGTGATTTATTTTGGATTGTACTTTTGCTGTTTTACTATAGCACAATATCTAATTTATATCAAAAGTTTCCAGAAATCTTTTTCTTAAGATTCAACTTTAGTACATTGTGGAAAAATTGATATTATTACATTTATCGATATCTTATAAAATGTTGATGTATTATATTATGTTTATAACAAATACTTATTAAAAATTAATAGATTAAATATAGAAGTATACTTATCTATAAATTTTAATAAAATATTCATATTTAATTTAAAAATTCTTATTTAATAGAATATTGCTTAGCTTTCATCTTGTCTTAATAAATCCATATAATGTAAATTATTATATTATAATATTTAATTTAATAATATAAATATATAAGGGTAATAATATAAAATATATAAACTATTTAGTGTTCATACTTCACTAACATTTTATTTTTTATATATTTTTGCTGCTTATAAATAAATTTAGATTGATGAACTTAATAAACCTCCACAAGCAACTAGACCTCTATTGAATCTTGTATGTAACTAAAATAAGCAAATTTATTACAATTTTTTCAGGGATTTATGATTTTTGCATTGCACAAGCCATATCACCAATAATTCTTAAAATTAACAATACATATTAATATCTTTCTTTAGAAAACTACTTCAACTATGCAAGAAATTCACCATTAGTCATTCCATTTTAGATTTAAGATTTCAATTCTTACTCTCTCGTTAATAAAGATTAAAATACCTTCTAAATGCTGTTCTTAACCTATTCAAATAATAAACAAGTTAAGTTATCAGTCCTAAAGTCCAAAATGTATGTGATACTATTTTTAATAATTTATGATTAAATTTTTTCTCAAAAAATCCCATTTAATGAATGACCATAATATTTTCAAGTAAATGAAAAAAGAAATAAAATATATAAGTAGAATATGTAGACATTTCATTTACTGTATGTGGAATTTGATTGTATTTTTTTTTTGGATTTTGTAATTATTATTTCTCTAAAATATTTAGAATAGTTTAAAGACTCTTTCCAAGTCTGAATAATCGTCTACATATGTATATTTGTTCTATATTAAATTATATAAGTACAATATATAGAAAATTTGATTTCAGATTCTTCATTATTAAATCCTATAAGCATATAACTACGCAATAATTGCCAATTTTATAAAAATTTAAGTAATTTATCTCTATTTTCTTTAAATAATGTATTGGTTTACCTATTGATAACTAAAATTGAATAAAATTTTAAAGCATTTTTCTAAAAAATTATAATTATTTATAATATAGATTTATAAACATATTGAGATAACACATCAATAATTTTTGATAGATTTTCATAGATTTAAAGTGAAATTATCAATTTTTGCTCTGGACTTGAATTATTAGGCGAATTGATCTATCAATTTTTATGTTGCTTGTCTATATTTATTATATCTCTAAAGATAATTAATTAGATAATTTACTTTAATTTTTTCATTCTCAATATTGTGTAGATTTTATTTTCTTATTTAAGTTAAATCTTAAGATTTTTAATTGTTTTTCTCTAATTTGTCAGTTTTTTTTATTTAACATAAACTGAACATATTATTAGTTCTAGTAAAATGGGATTTAATTTGCCATTTATCTTTGTTTTCAATATTATCAGTAGTAGTCTTAAGTAATTCATTGCTCATTAAGTGGCTAGAAGTGAAATTTTTATTAGGAAGTTTTGGAGTGAAATATTAAAGTTAATAAGGAATATTTTTTAATCTCTTTGCTCTTAAACTTTCTTACATAGGAGTATAGAGTTAAAGTTATTTTGGATTGGTAACAGAAGTTAATGCATGTTTATGAAATCTATTTCCAAGTTATTAAGGTTTAGAGTTTATTGATATGATTCCTATAGATAGAAATAATTAATACTTGATCTTGAAGTAGTTGTTTAAGCATCTGATTCCCATTTGAGATTTCCTTCAACTTTTGGTAGAGTCAAAGCAACTCTGACTAATCTTTCTGAATACATTTAATATTTATAATTATTTATATAAATATAAAGTATTTAACCTATGAATTAGATTGATGAATTATTGATGTACTTAAAATGGTAAATAAATATATTTATTTAATATTGATTAATAAGGTCCTAATTTTATATTTCTTTTGAAAAACAAAAATTTTAATGGATGAATTATAAGTTAATTTTTGATAAATTTGAAAGTGAATTCAATAAATAATAAACATAATTGAATTACCTTGATTTTTGATTATGAATGCAAACTAATAATAATATATATTATATTATGTAATATTATTGTTAACTGCATTCATTACCATACACATAGGTATGTTTGTAACATGATTGCACAAGAAAAGGTCCACTTTGTGATATGTGTACTGATACTCATGATACACATTTGATAAAAAATCTAGATGCTTATATTAATGAATAAATCAAATACCTGAATGCTGACTATTAAGTTAATATTTTGTAGAAACTTGAATAACTTAAAACATTTTTTCATAGCAAAATATCTTAATTATTAATTGATGTTAGTCAAATAGATGAGAATAGAAAAAAAGAATTGGTGAAGCAATTAAAATCAGAGAAAATGAGTATTTAATAATTTCAATAAAAATTGATTGAATTAATTCAAAGAGATTAATTAAAGGATGGAGAATATTTAGAATCATTTTATGAATAAATTGTTGATATAGAAAAATAATTGAAATAATAATTTTCACAATTACCAATTAAATAAGCTTAACCTTAATAAATAACATAAATAATATCATAGTCTTCAAACATTCTAAATTAATAATCTAATTTATCAATTGGCAGAGATCTATCTCCAGAATTAACTAATAGATCAAATAAATCAAATAAATCAAATAGATCAAAAGAACCTATATTTTAATAAAAATAGGCTAGTATTTCTCCTATAAGAAAGTAGCTCTTATAAAGAGACTTAATGCCTGTTGGTTCATTTAATAATTCAAAATTAAAAAATTATTTTACAGAACAAGATTCTCAATAATCAGCTAGGAGTAAATAGGATACATAAAATTCTTTCAAAATTACAAAACCTTTTGACATAGATAAATCCTTTGAGAAAGGATAAAATCAGGAAAGTTATTAATCTAAATAAAAATCATAGAATTCTTCATTTGAAATATAACGACCAGTAGTACCATTTAAAGTTAATAATATGTAAACTCATTCTATAGATTTATTGCCAAAGTCTCCAGAATCAAAAACATTTGATAAATCTCCAAAGACTTTAAAGTCTCCATAATAACAAAGTGTTTTTAAATATATTTAATAGGAATAACCACATTAAACTGGTTATTTTGCAAGTCTAAAACCTTAAACATAAAATGATAATAAAAGTTTTTAAAAAGATAATAATTCTATTCTATAATATTCTACTCAAAAAGATGAGAAAAAATAAAATTAAAATTTTATTGTTCCCAAAACAACAACAAGTGAAATACTTAATTAATACTAAATTAATTATACTAATGAAGATAATAACTATTAAAATCAAAATTCAGTATTAAAAGACTATTAATAATCTTATGATGAACATTACTCTATTTCAAATCAACTTCTATTTGAACCTACAGAATAAAATAATATTTAATAATAAATTAGTATTAAATAATCTGTTTCATCATAGTCTAATTATTAACCACAATAATTTAATGATAATAAATCTTAATTAGATTTATCATACATTAGTTCAAAGTAAATAAAATTAACACTTTAGGTCTACAGGCCCACCTTAAGTAAAACTTAATCTTAATTTACAGAATCCTTTATCAATAGAAAATGAATAAACATTAAAAGCACATGATAAAAGTGTTAAAGATCTTAAATTAATGGATGAGGATAAAATTATATCCTGTTCAAAAGATGGTTCAATTAAAATATGGGATAAGTAATATATTGAATTTTATAATTTAGGAGATCGAGATAATTGAAAATGACTCTTAAAGAACATTCAGATTAAGTATTATGTATTGCATTTTCAAAAAAAAGAATTTTAGCTAGTGGTTCTGTTGATAAAACTGTTCGAATTTGGAAACCCTGTCCTTTTTGGAAATAAGTACATATTTGTGAAGGACATGCAGATAGAATTAGATCATTAGAATTTGTTGGTAATTATTTAGCATCTGGCTCAGATGATACGTATGTTAAATTATGGAATTATGATGGATAATTATAACATTCTTTTAAAACAAATGCTAGAGTAAGTGCTTTGGCAGCTGAACGAAATAATCTCGTTATTGCTACCGGAAAAAATCTCATTCTATATGATACTTAGACTAATAATAAAATATTAGAAGTGAGTGGTCATAAAAATTTAATATTATGTCTAGCTTTGTCTAGCAACAATTCTTAAAATAATGGAATTTTGATTAGTGGGTCAAAAGATAATTGTATAAAAATATGGTAGTATCCTAAATTTTAAGAGTTGAGGAGTCTTGAAGAAGATTATTCTGTTCATTCTATTAGTTTTGATCCTGATTCTCAATATCTCTTTGCTGGACTTATGGGATTTGAACAAGAAGGAAAAATAACAATTTGGAAATTAGATACATAACCATAAAAAGTTTAAGAGGTTACTATTAATCCTTATGGGTGCAATAAAGTTCTTTCGGATGGCAAATATTTATATAGTGCACATGAAAATAAAAGAATTGAATTCTATACTATTAATTGAATATAAGAATTGTAAATAATTAGTAAAAAGATATTAATTATTTATGATAAAGACATAATTAATTTAAAAGAAAATAAATAATATTTTGTTTATTCATAAATTCTTATGAAGATTGCGCACTATATAAAATAATAATTTAAAACGATATTTTCTGGAAAATATTATTATCAATTGATTTTAATTAAATTCGTATCTTGAAATGGATGTCAATTTTAGATCAAAGTTCTAATTCAATAAATTAATAGATTATAATTGTATACCTTTTATATCTTTTTTATTATATTAATATACTATGATTTCGAAGATTCTTAGATTATTATATAAATATAAATAAACTAAATTTATCACAACAAAGTCATTTCAAAACATGTAATGATAATTAGTAATGTAGATAGATGAATCAGATAAATTAAATGAATTTTCTCCAGCCTTTCAATTATTGCATATATCCATATAGAAATCCTTATTATTATAATTTGTATGCAGATAACATGCATGAATAGAATTCATCCACTGCAACATACAAATCAGAAGTGATATAATGGTATCTATTTTGTTGATTATATTTTGCAGGCTTACAACACTGGAATAATCTGAGTTGTATAAACTATTTTAGATAAAAGGATAAATAAAAACCTTTCCAATAATGAAAATGTTCATATATGACAAACTAAATAATCCATCAAATTATGCATTACTTTAAAAGTTAATATTAAAATTATATTTAGAGCAACAATTAATTTAGAGTCAAAAATTGATGATTAGTTCATGGTGAATTTCAAAGCACTCCATCCTAAAGCAGAAGTACATAAAAAGCATTATTAATTAAGGAATTATATTCTAAATTAAATATAGTTGATGATGAAAATTTTTTGGATACTATTTTTGTAGCCGAACCACATTTGGAAAATTTAAACTCTTTCCTAGATCTGTTGCATGATCTTTCTGATAAATATTTTCTATCAACATCTCCAAAACCTTAAATAGAAATAGCTGAAGATCCTTTCTGGTTTCATAAGAATAGTTTTCATAGTTGTGCTGTTTGGATCATTAAAGAATTTGAAAAAAATATTTCATTTCATTTTAGTCTTCATAGAGAAAAAAAGAAAAAATAAAGACTTTTTAAAGAGCCTATCTATCAAAATACTTCTAATGAACTTAAAGAATTTTTTTTATAGAATCTTGCTAATAATAAGGAAAAAGTAATTTAAAATTTTATGACTTTTAGTTAACCTTTTATTTTTAAGAAATCTATTCAGAAATTAAATAATAATCAGATCTCTTAGAAAATAAATTTTATGAAAACATATTCTCAGGTACTGCAATCAAATTAATGAAATCATAAGTTGAATTGTTGTTAAATTTTTAATAAAAATGTCATACTGATACTAATATTATTAATTCAATGTTAATTTCATCAATGAACGATTTAGTAGATTAGAAAACCTACATTTTAAAAAAATTTTATAAAATAGTTTAACATTTATTTTAAGAACATTTAGAATAAGAATTATTTAAGACTGAAATGTAGGATAAAAAACTTAAAAAAGATAAAAAAAAGAAAAAGAAAAAATACTAAAAAATACAAACATTTAAAGGACTTGATCCTATTGAACTAAATAAAAGATTATCGAGTAAAAATCTTCAAGAATCGAATATATTAAGATTTTCAAGATCACATTCATAAAGTAATTTAGCTTATACTTATGTGACACCACCTAATACACCATCAACTTGGGAAACTAGCGATGATTAACAGTATTAATAATAATTATTATTATAGGGAATGCATAAAGGCTTCAAATATATAATAATTGTACAAAAATTAATTTATTCAGAATCAAAGGATTTATTTAATTTAAGCTGAATAGTAATCTATATCTGAATAGTTTATTGCACATTATGAAATTCCTACTAATGACGATTATGTTGATGTAGGATAAGCTATAACTATAAATATTTTAGAAATGGCAAATAATTCATTAAATGATGAAAATTAATTTAGAGAGTAATTTTTGAAAGAGAAAAAAAGAATTAAAAAAAAATAAAAAGGATTTTAAAAATCTATTCCTGAAAGTAGAGATGAGCAATTATAATTATAATCACCTTAATCTGAAATTACTAGATTTTCAATAGAAACTTAAGCATAAACAATTAAAAGTCATTGTTCTAATAGAACATCTTCTACATCAGAAGAAGAAGAAGAAAAATAAAAATTAATTTAGATTAAAAATTAAATCAAAATTAAGAAAAATAATAATGAAAAATAAAATAACCTTTTTAAATTAATAAATTCTTTGAAAATGAATTAGTTTGAGGATTAATAATTTTAATAAGACATTAATTCAGTTTCAAATGAAAGTGAATAGGTTTCTCAAAAACATTTGGAAGATGAAATAGATCTTAAAACATAGAAGAAAAATTAATAATTTTAAAAGAAAAAGAATGAAACAATATAATAAAATTTAGATAAAAATTAGAAAGATTAATTAGAAAATGTTTAATAAAAGGGAAAATAAAAATTGATTGAATAAATCAATTTAGACATACTTGATTTTACAGATAATATAATGAATGAATATGAAGATATGCTTCCATTCAGATTTTTATCTTTTGATAGAGTAAAATTAGTAATTTAGAAAGTATTTTTAGGAATTCCTGATGGAATGATAATGTAAAAAGTTAATTTTATTTTAGGCTTTTTGGATCTTGTTCTACAGGATTAGCTTTAATTGATTCAGATATTGATATTGGAATAAATGGTTTAGAAGTTTATAATAGAAATATGTTAAAAAATCATTTTGATAATTTATTTTTTGAATTTTCAAGAAAAAAATGGGTCATCAAAGCCAAGTATTTAATTAAATTTAATTATTTAGTCCAATATTTAATTCATCAGTTCCAATAATAAAGTTAGAATTAGATCCATAAATTAATGTATTTGATTATGAAGGAAGGAATTTAGATGAAAATTAGATTTAATAATGGAAAAAGCTGAAATAAAAATTAAAGAGTGGAATAAAAGTAGACATTTCATTTAATTTTAATGGAAATGGAATTTATTCTACTCATTTAGGTTCAATAACTACTGATTTAGTTAAAAGATGGATGGAAGAATATCCATCTCTCTAGTAGATTGTCCTTATTTTAAAATCTATGATAAAAAAATTAAAGCTCTCTGAATCATATACAGGTAATATTATAATTTAATTATATTCTTAGGAGGGTTATCCTCCTATTCATTAATAATAATGGTTTACTCTTATTTGAGAGAAAATAGAATTACATCTAATTAAATTGGTGAATAATTTATTGATTTAATAAACTTCTATGTAAATTACTTCGATTCTTCTTCTACTGGAATAGGCTTATTGTCAGATATCAATAATCCAAACTCTAGGTAATTTTTTTATTAATAAATAGTTACTTCTTCAATTTATAAGATTATTGTTTACCCATGTTACCAATTACGATATTTAATCCTTACAATAGAAAATTACTTACTCATTCATGTGTGTAAATTAACAAAATTTTTGATTTCTTTAAAATAATTTTGAAGGAAGTTGATACTAAAAAAGAATTTTATTATAACTATGTTGTTTTAGGAAAGAAGAAACAATAGAAATTAAATAAATAATTATCAAATTTTATTGTTAGCATTTTAGAATAAATAAAATGAGCTGAGTTGTATATAGATTATGTATTGCTTATACTAAATATAAATATATATATATATATTAATAATGAATAGTGAAGATTTTTAAGTAAGTAAATAATCATTGACATATCTGATTTATAGAGGGTAACCACAATTTTAAATGTTTCAGGAATTCAAAAAATTTATTTAAGAAGCTCCAGAAATATAACCTTAAATTATCCATAGTTCTCAAAATTTAAATGAATAACATAATTTAGATCTTGCTCAAATAGATAAATTAAATAAATTTGTTTAAAGCAAAGGAGGCTTATATTAAGCAGAATCTTACGTTTAATACTTTGGAGATTTCGTTTCTCCTAATGTTCAAAGATTTTTTTAGATTTAATTGTTAAATCTAAGGATCCTAAAAACAATCACCCCTAATAAAGAATTGTAAAATTTGCTCGCCTAGGCTAATACATTAAAAGTCTCACTTTCATTGTTATCAAATGAATAAGCTTTTACTGGATCACTATAATTGACTAAATTATCGACAATAATATAATTTGAGAATAATTAGGCAAATTTATATAGTTAAGAAGGAATATACAAAATTGGCAATAATTATTAAGGCAAATTTGGTACTCATGCTTTAGTGACTTGCAAAAATTAAGATAAGTTTTATTTGGCATTGTTATAATTAAAGGATAATAAAGTTAAAGAGAAATGGTTAGGCAAAACTATTTCTATCTATTAAAATTATGCTATTCAATTTGAAGGCTCAAAAGTAATTAAATATGTTGAACTAAATTAAGAAGATTTAGAACTTATTGATTAATGGGAATCTTATCAAGGATTTGAAGATTGTCAAATTTCATTAAGAGAAATAATGAAATTGACTGATATTTGCTATAAATATTGTTCAATGAGAAAGTAATTCAGAACTACAGAAGACAAGACTGAAAGACCTATTTTAACTTATTAAGTTACATTAACAAGATTAATTAATGCTATTTCATTTGCTGTAATGTTTTATATCAGTGCTCAAGAAGCAAGAAAAGAATTTTTCTAAGATATTTTTATGAAAAAACCCAGAAGATAAGTAAGTAAGAAGTTTGTTGATTTTTTTTCTTTATATATCACTGAACATTGTGTTTATGTAGCAGAATAATTAAGAGATGTATTTGGTGGATTTGGATTTCTGAGAATTTCTGGGGTTCCTCAAATCTAAGAAAAACTTATATGGTTATCTTCATTTTATAAGAATAACAGGATATAAAAATTAAATGATTATTTAAACGTCATTTTAGATATTGAGAAGGTATTTAATTAAATCTTATTAATAAGAATAAATAAGTTGTGCTTTTTTATTTAGGATAATATTTTATGGGAGATCCAGTATCAATGTTAAGAGAGTTAGGACCCTTAACTTTAGGAAATGTTAGTAATCCTTTTCATGTGTTTGGTTATCATGTTGCAAAAATTAAAGAGAAATTATTATAACAAGAGCATTTAAAATATTCATATTCAGCATATTAGTTTTCCTAATTAACTTTTGAATTATTTGCTTCTTAAAAGTTTTTCTCTTTACTCGCTTTTAGAAGATATAGGGCTTCTAATTTTATTTTAGATAGACTCTTACTTAATTAGAATTTCATCTCACTTTCTTTAATGGAAACCAATTTATCAAATATTAATTTTATTAAATAACAAATTGGATAAAATGCATAAGAGTTGTTGACAGTTTTAAATATATTGATTGATTCTTATGAGTTTGAACATTATGGAATTTTATTAGGTTAAACAGATTAAGAGAAGTTTTATGGAAAAGTAATATCGAAATCAATTTATATTAGTTAATTCATGCTAGCAAGAATGAAAATAATCGAAATATTGAATAAGTTGTCAATGAGATCAGAAAACCAGTTTTAGATTTATTCAATAGATCAGGATTATGAAAAGTATTATTAACATAATATTTTAAGTTATTTATATAAATAATAATTTTTTTATATTATGTACAAAATTCATTTTTTCAAGTAATTGCTACAAGTTTTTGATTTTAATCTACTTACCATATGTCAGGTTTTGAATTTTTATCAATTTCTCCAATTTTTAAAGATTTTAAAATATCATGTGCTTTATTAGAATGACCTTAATTATGAATATAATGAAGTACCAATATCTTTAAAGAATCTAGTAACATCTTTACCAGCCTTATTTATAATGACAGCTGGACCCCCAGGATGAGAATCTAAAAATCCTTATGAATCATAGACTGAATCATTAATAACAATCCATCCATTTTGAGCATTTTGACCAACTTCTTACCATGTGAATATCCGACTCATTTAATTTAATTATATGATATTTATTAATTAAGATTTCTTATATTATGGAATTCAAAAAATAAAACAAAAAGGTAATGGAATAAAATTAATTATAATAATAATGGGAAATAGAGCTTTGTGTTAAGGTGATAGAACTGAATCAATGTTATAAGCAGAATAATAAATTCGATAAAGAAAAGTTACTCAAGTAAATGAGGCAGTTAAAATTGATTTAGAAAAAGATAATAAATAATCATTAATTACTACCTCTTATTAGAATGAATAATTGTAGAGATCATGTCTTAATGATTGGTTAGAGACTCTGCATGAATCTGTATTGATAAGTCAAATAAATTTAAATTGTGATGCATCAACTAAATTTTTATCTGAGGTAGATGAAGAGGAAGATATTGATCAAACTAAATTATCATTTATTGATTCTAAAGAAATTTAAGAATATAAAAAGAACTATCCATATTGTAATTCGAATTTAGATATGGTAATTATAAATTTCTACATCTTAAAGAAACATGAATTCAAGTAAACATAATTCATAATCAAGGCTTAAGTTATTGTAAGGGCCTCCTAAATAAAGAATAAGATGGTCTTGTTGGTAATTGATGGCTTATACTCCAAAGTTCCTTATTTGTTCAGATGGATTATCTTTTATAGATCAGGATTAAAAATATGCTAATGCAATAAGAAAAGATATTCATAGAACGGTAACATCTAGTAATATTAAATATTTTGAAACTGGAGAAGGTTAATAAGATTTAGAGAAAGTTTTGTTAAAATTATCAAAGTTATTTCCAAAACTTGGGTATTGTTAAGGAATGAACTTTCTAGTTGGGTTCACCTTAATCATTAATAATAAATCAATTGATCAAAGCTTGTAATTTTTATCTTAAATGATGATAAATCCAAAATTCATGCTTTACTATATTTATTCAGATGAAATGCCATTAGTCAAACTTTTAGAATTCATATGTATTAATGAAATCAAATTAAGAACTCCTGATTTATTCAATCACATTTTTAATAAGTTAGAAGTTAACAATGCTATCTGGATTACTAAATTAATTATGACTCTCTTTCTATATAATTTTCATATAAATAATGTATGTAGATTTTGGGATTTTTTATTGACAAATTGTATTTTTGATATTTCAGCCATCATTTGCTCTTTAATTGATATTAATAGAAATCTAATCTTAAAAATGGAAGATCTTCATTAATTTATACAGTGGTTTGATAATTTCTAATAAATAGAATTAGATTAATTCTAAATGGATTCACTAATTAAAAATTGCAATTAATTCAAATAGAAAAAAAACAAAATAAATTAATACGCTCTTCATTTTTGCATGTAACATACCATCAAGCATCCTTTACAATAATAAATAGCAGAAAATTATGAAAACTTAAATAAAATGAAAGAATTCCTTAAAAAGGATATTTTTAGTTGTTGATAATATTAATAAAAACTAAATCAAATCATTATTATTTTTGCATTTTAGATTCTTATTCTTTAATTTTTAGCAAAGTTAACACAAGGTTAAAAATAATAAATACAATAGTACTTAAGATAAAATAATAAAATTATTTAATATTGCCTTTTCCAATACATTTACCAGTCCATGGACAATGATGATCGAATTCATAAATACAAATATCACAATCTAAACAATGTTAGGTCTCTTTGGCTTAAATCAATTTACAAACTTTGCAATACCTTTTTTATATTAGAATAGTTTACCATGTTTTTTAGCTATTATCTTAATTTTTTTCATTATCATTTCTTTCTACATTTGCAACACCTGGATTAATAAGTGAAACAATTATGTAACTTACACATTGATTAATACCAACAAGAATAGTAGTATAAAATATTAATGGATTTTCATTGAATCGAATGATAATAAAGAGACCTCCTATAAAAAAGAATAAAAGAAAAGCACAAATAAATAAAGGCCCTTTAATCAAATTATTAAATACAATGAGGTCCAATAACAATAGTAGGTTTTCCCTTTCTAAAAATCATAGGATGGCATTTTCCCCAAAAAATTGATTTTGGTTTTGTATATTAATCATCAAGTTCTAATGGTTCAGTACTTGATATGTTAAGTGCAGAATCATCTTCATCTTCTTTTTAATGTCTTTCTTTCTAATTCATATTATAATTAATGAGAAATAAAACACCAACTAAAGACTACATTACAGATAAAATTTTAAGTAGAATTCAATCAAGCAATATCTAAATTTATGATTAAGATTAAGGAAAAATGATTTTTGAAACAAAAAAAAAGAAATTGTGTTGTGAATCATGTTTACAATAAGATGTCAAATTTCTACCTAATAGGATAAACAAAAAAATAACAAACCCTTAAGTGATAGAAATGTTCAGGAACTTTATTAAAATGGAGTGAAACATTATAAACTTGGATATTTTAATTTAGATCCTATATCTATATAATATGATGGGAAATATGAAAGATTGCGTTTAGATCATTTTGAAGTTGTTGAAAAGTTGCTTTTTCACTTGAAATTAAAAGAAAAATTCTAAAGTAATATCAAGAATGTTTTATTTAAGATAGAATAAAATATACGAGATAATCACAATTTGTTAAATATCCTTTTACAATAGGAAACTCCTTTTCGAGATTAAATTGAGAAGATTTAGAAACACAATTAGGCTGTTATTGCATTATGTGTTTCATAAGAATCAGATACATATTTTGATGATGAAATTTAACAATCTTAAGTTAATTATTAAATTGCTATAAATGAATAAGAAAGAACTATATTTAGATTGAAAACTTAAGTTCAACATCAAAATGTTTTGATTCATAAAATTCAATAAAGTATTAATGAACCTATGCTTGGGATGGCTGGTTTATTAAATTAAGTTGGTTAATTTAAATAGAAGATAGAAGAATTAAATAAGTAGATTGTGCATTCTATTTTAGATAAAATAAAGAATCTATTATAGAAATATCCTACATTATTTAGAGATATAACAGCCAATAATATAATTAATATAAAAGAATTTTAATATGATTTGGAATAGTTATATTTATTGTATAGTTAGGGTAAATAATACGAGAAGAATATGAGTGCACTTTAAAATTAATATGATAGTCTTTTTAAGGAACTTTAAGATGAAAAAATAAATTAATCTAAAATAAAATAAGAAGCATTTAATAAAGATCCGAAACTAAAGAGAATAATAGAGGATCTTTCTAGATTGATATTATCGAAAGATTCAAATGAATTAAGAGAGTTAATAAAAGAGTTGTATTTAAAGAATCATTAAGATATTATATAAGATTAAGAGAGATAAATACAAGCATTAAAAGATTAAGTCAATTAAATAGTATAATATTATAAATTATAGAGGGTGTTGAATATGAGAATTTCAGAACTTCAGTGAGACATTCAGATAATAAAGCTCCTTATTTTGAAGAGGATTAATATACTTAATCTTTATTTACTTAAGCTTAGGCTATAGAATAATGTTTATTGAAAATGAAATGAATTTTCCTAATTTATTTGATAAATTATTTCATAATTTAGCTTTTTCATTAAACTCAACAAAGCCGATAATAACTTCAAGTCCTCTTTCTAAAGTTTTAGCTGAGAATTAAACTTTGGTTCCTTCCTTCCATAATGAAATTATAAGTGTTTCACCTGGAAAGACATGTGAAGTAAATCTTGCAGCCATATTTTTAAGAGCATCTCCATTTCCCTAAAATAAGATAATAAAATACTTAAGTAAATGTTTGAATAGCAGCTTTAGCACATATACCATAAGTACATAATCCATGTAAAATAGGTTTATCAAATCCTCCCAAAGCAGCCATATTCTTAAACACTTAATTTAATATAATACAGGATCAATATGTAATGGATTAATATCTCCAGATAATCTATAAATGATTGCTTAATTCGGAGTTGTAACTTATTTTACTTCTTTGCATGCAGGTCTTTTAGG